CTACTTCTACTACTGCTACTCCTGCTGCTGCTACTACCACCACAATTCTTACTGTTTCTTCTAGTACAAATGCCCCAGCTCTTACTGTTTCTTCTAGTACAAATGCCCCAGCTCCTGCTAGAGCTCTCCTGCTCCTGCTCGTGCTCCTGCTGCGACTGCGACTGCGACTGCGACTGCGACTGTTACTGCTACTACTGCTGATGCTGCTAGTGCTACTGCTGCTGCTGCTGCTGCTGCTGCTACTGCTGCTGCTCCCATGCTGCTGCTCCTGCTTCCACTGCTCCTGCTGCTGCTCCTGCTGCTGCTCCTGCTGCTGCTGCTACTGCTACTGCTACTGCTACTGCTGCTGCTGCTGCTGCTGCTGCTGCTGCTGCCGCCCCGCTCAGACACCGAGTCACGAGACGGCGAGGCGCACGAGCATTGGACACCGGGAGGCCGCGTCAGGAGCACTGGGACACCAAAACACCAAAAGACAGCGAAACCGAACCAAGACACAGACATGCCAGCAAACCGGCACAACCAGACGCCAGACGAAAGGACACAGGAGCAAGATGACCTGAACCTGAACTCTTGACAGCCGGCACATCGGAAAACACGATGACCAGTACCACAAAGACGCAGAACACGAACCAAAACCTTTTGTAAGAGCCTCAGACAACCGACAAGCGGCTGCCGGGACACTGCATTTTTGCAAACGGAAAACTACAATCCAAAGCAATTGAAACACCGCGAGCAAAGTAGCATGTCAATCATTTTCTCATGACAGCAAACATGAAAGTCGTCACCATCATGCTCATCATGCCCATTATCGCAAAGCATCACTATCATCACCGTCATCATCACCATCATCAACATAGACCTCGTCACCGTTTCTGCTCGAAAATTTCTCTCGAACCAGGTCGCCCGTTGTGAGTCGCGCAGACGATACTCCCGTGAGGCCACGAGAGCTCCAAGTCCGCCGATACCATGCAGGAGACCTGCAGAGCAAGAACAGGAGAAATGCCTTCAAACTTCTTGATACTGCCGACGCCTGTACATGTCTCCTTGAAAGACAACCTTCCCTTGTGGTGTCGGCAACACCAGCCCAAACTCATGAATGCTATGCTCGAATGACAGACATAGGTGAGACTTGGACAACGTCGCTCGGACTTTGTTCCTCTGTTTCTACCTGCTTAATGATGACCATGATCGTATCACAACACCGGCAAAGTCAAAGACTTCTTTTGCAGCTTCCCTCCCTGTGGCATGAAGCATTGTATGCTTACGCTGAAGCTACCAGCAGCTAGCTTAAGAATGCAGATGCGAGCAATAACTCAAACCAAAGTCTCGCAACTCACTCACACAACGGCCTGGAGACACGTCTGCATCTTCCGGCGCTTCTATCCACTGGATCTCCGGTGTCTCGTCAAAGGAAACGCGGCGTTGGACATTCTTCTCTGCACCACCTGACCATGACATGCATCCCAACAACGACCTCTCTCTCTCTCAAAGCCCACTGGACTGGATCGGCAGCCACTTAAACCTAACACCTACAGTACCAAATCCTGTCTTGCCGAGAATAGTCCTCGATGGAAGCCCTTCAGAGTTTCTTCTTCGGGTCGCAATTTGGGTCGTAGACGGGTGGGAGCTCCCTCCCTCTTCGACTTAGCTATACAATCGACTCCTAGCTACACTGAGGCCCCAATGCCGCCCCAAGCCTTCGGAAGTGGAATCCTCGGGGGTCGTCGTCTCTGACTGGATCATCTCTGCCCCGGAGTCCTGGGTGTCGACATGAGCGACCGCCAAACGGAGAGCCTGAGACACACAGCCGCGATGTGGTTGTGAACAGAGAGAGCCAACCCATCACCAGAAACGAATCATTCGCACTCTCACGGGCCTTGTTGCGGCGCGGGCTCATTGGGCCCTGACGCGGCTCTGAGGGCGGCCGTGGAAGGAAGCTAGCCATCGAAACCGAAGGTTACCGCCACAAGGCACAGAGGCTTGAGCACATTTGCAGCCACAAAACTGAGTTTAAAAAAGGCGGTGCGAGCTTCAGTCTTTCAGCCTCATGATGTGTTCCGGAGGGGTCACACAGGGTTTTCGGCTCTGGGTGCTACTTCTGCAACCATCATCTCTTTGGTATGATTTCTAGTATTGCTAATTCTGCTGCTTTAGTTGCTGAACATACAAAACGGCTGCTATTGATGCGGATTCAACAATTGAGACCATTGGCTACTGATGCAGATGCGCCGATTAAGAACATAATCGGTAGCACACTTACTTCATGTAACCGCAAGGGCTGTAGCACACCTCGGTCATGTTTTGGCGTCGGTTTGCTGCCATGTGACGGTGACAGCTGATGGTGATGGTGATGGCGATGGCGATGGTTATGGCGGTGGCGGCGTTGGTAATGCTGGCACTGCTGCTGCTGCTGCTGCTGCTGCTGCTGCTGCTGCTGCTGCTGCTGCTGCTGCCGCTGCTGCTGCTGATGGCGCTGGCGCTGGCCATGGAGCTGGAGCTGAAGCCGTGTGGGTGCCGGTTCAGGTGCCGGTGCAGGTGCAGGTGCCGGCGCGAGTGCGGGTGCGTCTGCCGGTGCTGGTGCTGGTGCTGGCGTTGGAGCTGTTGCTCGTACTGGCGCTGGTGCTGGTTATGATGATGGTGATGACGGTGATGACGATGCTGATGGTGATGATGAGATGATGACGATGATGATGATGATGATGATGACGAGGGTGAGGATAAGGACGAGGATGAGGATGGCGATGATGATGATGATGATGATGATGATGGTGGTGACGATGATGAAAATGATGATGATGATGATAATGGTGGTGGTGGCGATGATGATGATGATGATGAGGAGGAGGAGGAGGAAAAGGATGAGGATGATGATGAGGAGGATGATGATGATGATGATGATGATGATGGGGATGGTGATGACGATGATGATTTTTTGCTAGTGCCGTGTGCGTGACGGTCTGGCACGCTTTGGCGCTTGCCCAGAAGAAAGAGAGCCGAGCTTTCGCTTTATGCCTATATACTGGTGGTGAAGGAATCTAGCGGTGTGGTCTGATTTCCAATTGGAAGGAAACTCTCTCCTAGCAGTAACCTCCAACCATCCTGATCCCCTGCCTCTTCTTCGACCGTTGGTTACAATTCTATCCTTGAACGCTGCTGAGAAAACCACGTTGTGCATCGGATCTGTTATGGAACAAACAATATATGATGATGATGATGATGACGATGATGATGACGAGGATGATGATGAGGAAGATGAGGATTGTGATGATGGCGATGATGATGATGATGACGATGATGATGATAAGGACGAGGATGAGGTGGTGATGGTGCTGGCGACGATGATGATGATGATGATGATGATGATGGCGATGACGATGACGATGACAATGATGGTAAGAAACGACAATGAAGAGTGGAAATGAGGAAGGAAAACTAAGAATGACTATGAGTAGTGGAAATGAAGAATGGAAAGGATGAATGGAAATGAAGATATCAAAGGAACAATGGAAATGAATAATGAAAATGCTGAAAGTTCATTGCTACGTTCATTGCTACAACTACCAGGACCAGCACTGCCACTGTCAATTCCAGCATCACCGTCACCACCACACATGCTTCCGCAACTGCTGCAAGCGCGGCTGGCACGAGTACGTCTAAGCATTTGCAGCAGAAACTCTTACATACAAGCATATGAGCATCAGAATGATCTCAGGGTTTTGTCGAGTGCTTTCAAAGTACCCCGCCTCTGTCCAACAAGTATATTTCTAGGTTCGACCTCTGCTGTTACCACTTTGCAAAGAGGTCAGAAGTGATGCATACAACGATAACAGGATGGAAGGTGTCGGCGACAGGACATAGTTCCAAGCCTCGACCTGTAAGGATACAGGCAAAGAAGCAGCAGGATGAAGAGATGTTTAACACCTACAGACTGGTAAACCTCAAAACCTCAAGCTCCTAAAAGGGTATCGCTTCCATGGGACCATGCGACCCTCCGAAGGTCGAAGTGTGTGCATGGCCAACCATGGTGCTGGTTCGGCGCAGAGACCGTGACTGCGTCTGTGATTGGGACACCTTCCATCACCATGAGAAGACTAGCTGGTGTAGCACCCCACGAGTGTTGTCAAGAGCAAGCACGGCAAACTTTGCACAACAAACAATAGTGGTAAGGAAAATGTACGATCCGAGATCGAGGAAAGTTGTTCGCAGTGTAGCTTAAAGGCAAGCGATCCACCACGCTTGCTTCATCCTGTTTCCAAGAGCATGGAAACTCCGGTTGTTAGACAACTGCCCCTGAAGATCTGCATCCAATCCCTGAATCTGAGGCCACTGGAAATGCTTCGCCTGATACCTCAGCTTCCGGCACCGTGGTGTTGATAACTACAGCCAACTCTGTTCGCCTTCAGAAGCAGCTGCTTTTGGATCTGAGAATCTGAAGGACTGAGGGCCAGCTTGTGCCGGGTGTCTATGGCACAAGGATTCGGGTGAGCTGTCCTGCTGGAGTCGACGGAGGAACATGATTTCGGTAGAGCTCAGTGCCAGATTGTCATGAGCACCAAATCTGAGGTACGCAGGTGGATCTATGACCCACCCAGCTTTGGATGCTAGTTCTTGATTCCTGACTCTCAAGCTCTAGGCCTCTATGCCGAGCAACACTCCTGAAATTTCCACATTCCACGATCCAAAGACCCCACTGGCGCTGGCACCGGCTCTTGATCAACTCGTCCTCGGCAGCGCCTTTTTTTTTCACTGCAAAATGTGCCTGGCGAGACCAAAGAGGCATCTCCAAGGCCACAGAACTCCAAAAACTCCCACCGACGATCCGGCCATGAAACCCAAGGGCCCTTTTCGGACCCGACCCATCGGCCCCGCTTCTCGGACTCCAAGGCCGCGCCGGGCCTCTACCAGATCCCCAGGCCGCAGCCCCGAAAGCACAGTTAGCTCTCTTGGGGAGAAATACCTCAGAGAACGGTCTTTGCCGGAAAGTAAAAAGGGGGCGAATTGCTGGGATCAACCTGTCAGCCTTCTCCCCACATACACACACTCTCTGCCGGCAATTGGAACGCTGACACGACAGGTGAGACAGCCTAGTTATGCTCGCGCATCATAGCGAATGTAATCACGTGCGAGGTGTCAACCACTGAATTGCTAAGATTGCTTTCGACCCACGCCTAGCTTGTCCTTGTTGCAAAGCTCAGAAGGCTTTACCATGGCAGGAGTGCACACGTCGCCCAAGCAACTGGTGGATCTGAGATCGGAACCGGAACTCGATGTTGTGGTACCTTGGGGTTGCGAGCATCAACTAAAGGCCGCTTCGAGGGGTCAGGATGTGCGACATGGCAGAATGTGGAGGACTGTCAAACACCAGGCTCACCAGTCCCACTCAGCCATTGAATTCCACAGCGGGCCTGATCTGAGCACGGGGCTCTGAGTTTTCGTCTTTCTTCTTCGCAGGCTTGCGACGGTTCCACCGATCTGTCTTCCTTTGCAACTCAGGGTTTGCTGCCCAGCAATCCGAAAAGAAGCCTAAAGGCTCCGGAAGGTCCTGTAGCCGAAGTTGAATTGATACATTTCGGTGCGATCAGGTATGTTTGGCAGTTCAGCAAGCGGCAACTACAGAGAAAAATTCGTTTTGAAAACGGATCAGGTTTTGCTTACCAGCAATGATCCGTGGATGATCTTGTATGCCCAAAGAATGTGTACAGTGTACTCTTGAATGCCTTTCTTCGGAACCGTTCCTCTGTTGAAGACTCTGAGAGTACCCAGAGTCTTGAAGTGGGACAAGCTGATGCGAACGAGGATCACCTCCTCTTTGGAGCCATCTCGGAGCAGGACGGTGTACCTCAGCCAGCATCGGAATGCAAAAACAGCCCACCATGCCTGACAATTCCCTCGGCAAGTATTCCGTGGCCGCAGACCCTGTCCCTCAATCAGACCGAATCCGGCAGACTTCGAAGGCTTTACAATCGACAGCTGCTTGAAAGTGCACTCTACAATTTTAACACCGCCATCAGCACAAAAATCATCACCAACAGCTTCACCACAGTCTCCATGAGGGACAAAATCATCAACGCATGACCACCATCGCCGGAGGTAAGTGTATCGCTTCCGACCGCCCAACAGTGTCACCCCGACCCCCGACCCCCCACAGCCCGGACAGACTGAACAACAACTGGACAGCGGGGAAAATGCCCAGGAGCAGCCCGGACAACCCGCACAATACCAGTCCCTTGCGGAAGGACAACCAGGAACCCCCCTCAACCCTCGAGCTTTTGAGAGGCTTCGTCTGAGTTTCTCGGGTTGTTGCTGGGCTGCTCCCTTTCATCAGCAGGATTGTCCTTGCTGTTGTCGGGGTTGTGGTGTGGGGGAAATCGGGACTTCGTGCTCGGTCTGTCGGGGCTGTCCAGGCTTCGTGTTGACTTTTGTCCGGGCTGCCCGGGCTGATGCCCGGGTTGTGGTGTGTCACCTTTACAGCGGAGCATAACAATCGGCATCGCCGTAATGGTGCCACCAGGCGGCTCTTCGAGCACGTGGTATGCTCGGCTGACAATGCCTGCCGCTTCTGCCCAGGCATCACAGGTTTTGTTAAACTCCCATAACGCCTGTTTGCAAAATCTGTCCAAACACGCGTTGCTTCCACAGCAGACACCACAAATCACCACAACAGAGGCCATGCAAAACAGTCGGCACCTTGCCCCATGCAGCAGGATCCATTTTCGAAGGTGTAAGAAACCAGAACTCCTCGCGTGAAGGTTCTTTGCTTCGGTGTCTGTTGAACCGCTGCGCAGCCACCCTGGAAGCTCAGCTAGCTTGCACCCGATAATGCGCAGAGCACAAGGTAACACAACCCTTACAAAGACCAGGAGCTTGTCGGGTCTCCGCAGCTTACCAGACCTTCCAACTCTAACAGGAAGCTCAGCACAGGATCTTGGTTGTTGAATGTGCTTGATGTGTAGGTAGTAGGTTCAAAAGGAAGCCTCCATCATCCCCTCAATGAGTCCTTTGTCGATCCAGGGTCGGACTCGGGGCTTCTGCCCTGAGCTGAGGTAGACATGAGAATTCGGTGGTGTGGGGTCTAGGAATCACGAAATTTCCACCTTCATCGCCTCTTGCAAGCCCGGAACTCGAAATAGCCTTCCAAGCTCAAATCCGCTGCTTGACCTGCTACATGACGCCTGAAACCACAAGAAGACCATCATGCAAGGTCAGGACACCTCGATATCTGCGTTTTAACTCATTGGCATAAGCGCAACCTCTGCAGCACATGAAGTATAGGGAGAGGGGCCCTCTTCGTCCATCCCGCAATCGTCGGTGTATCCGGCAAGGCCGATAAGGCTCTCCTTGTGACAGTCTGGCGATGGAGTAGTGTGGTGGAGCGGCATGGAGGGGCTGCAGTAGCGGGATTTAGCGGGACCGCGCTGCGGTCGATTTTTCAAAGCACAGACTGGGCAGCTAAAGAAACCGAACCACACCCCTAGAGCGCACAAGCATCAGGATGCATTGTCATGCCTTCAGTCCATGAAACCCGAATTGCACCATGACGATGCTCAAACACCTCCCAGCAAACACAACGAAACCCCACACCTCTTATCCGCCTTCGAGCCAACCTCGGCAATACTCCATCATACTGAAGTGCCAAACGCCGCGAGCCCTCTTGTCTGCGACTAGGCTGCGACTTCGCAGTACGCAGTGTCGTCCTCCAAGCACTCAGCACGTCTCACACTGTGCTATGAGGATGCAGGTCTGGACGAATCGCCCGGTTAAAACTGAAACGGCAACACGGACAGTTCACACAGTGATGCCAATGGCAGCAACAATCACAGGAAGAGATGTAAGGCTTGCAGCAAGACATTTACAATGGCGACTTATCAATGTAAATAGCATAAGACGAAGTCTCAAAAAACACGCACTGCACACAACACTGCCAATGTTTGTGAAGTAATAAATAGGATAAGACGAGGTCTCAAAGAACACGCACTGCACGCAACACTGCCAATGTTCGTAGTCAAGTATATGCCAGCGACAAAACTCTAACATAGCACATGTGTTGATATGTGGACACCAACATGTGCAAGAAAAGCAGGCCATCAGAACTGGCTTGATGCCAACAATCCAAATGATGGCAAGATGACACAACAGTGGTAGTGGCAGTGTAGCAGAAATAGCACTGATTGAAACATCTGTACCATCAAGCGTAGCAACATGCAGCAAAGTGCAGCAACAGCCAGCCTAACAGCAATAGTAGGAACCGGAGCAACGGGGCAATGGGCAGGGCTGCCTGAACACAACAACGGATTCAGCATGGATTAGAGCTGATCCCGAATTTGACGAACATGCGACAAGCGTAGCAAGAGCAGCAGGAGCAGAGACGTGGTACAATAGAATGCTGCCGACGACATTCGCATGACCCTCGTCATTATACTATTTATGCTGGGTGTTGAATCAAGGAAATGCTGTAACCATCTCAACCACATCATCTTCAAAAATAGCAAAGGAAATGCATGATACGACAGCGGCCGTATCTTCTGGACCGCCGCTAGCTTCCGAAGCACCATGATAGAGTGGTAGTGATGGCATCCGACAGGCAAGATGCGTCGTCGACAGCAGTGAAAAGCAATAAACATCGAATTACCTGCGGGGCTTCAATAAAGGATCAAGACAGACTTTGCTGGAAAGCAGTAGAACCTACACCTGCTCTGCGCACTGCTTGCACAGCGGGCCACCAAAGGGAAAGGTTTGCATTGAGACCGAACGATGAAATCACGTCCCGGAGTGCAGATGCTGTCTGCTCTGCAGTAACAGCCCTGGGAGTACTCATGCACATGCTGCCTCGACACAGCGCTGTGAAGCGGTGCACCAGCCGCCGCCTTTGGCCAGACAGGACCTCGGCAAGGCATTCTCGGCAAAACCTTACCCGTTCTTTACCTGTGCGTATTGCATCGTACTGCCCTACAGCTGAGCTCGTCCAAAGCTTTCGCGATCCCGAAAGGAACGTTGTCTGGGGCCGGCTCGGGCATGTCTCCGCAGTGTCCAACTCTTCCTTCGAGAGTCCCAAGCTTTACAGGAATCCGTCGAATTGGCTGCACGGTCTTGGGAGTCGCTTGTCGGGGAAGGCTTGAGCCCAGGTTCATGTAATCGCCATGCGGCACCGTTGTGCAAGTATGCACAAGTCTTGTCTATTTGCACTGAAGGTTTTCCAGGACTGGGGTAGGTAGCTTCTGGGCAGCACCACACAGGCAAACCATCGGAGGTAGAGGTAGCAGGCAGGCTGCATGGCATGCTGGCCCCCTTGCATCACCAAAAGCCTCCTGAAGAAGTCCGATGAAGAGAATACTAGCTACTGATGCCATGTGACGTGTGCAGCGAAAAAGCAACTGACAGTGGCTCTTTTGCCGTGTCGTTTCGCGCTACGATGTGACGCCATCATCAGTGAAAATAGAAACGGCCACAGCACAAGCAGCCAGAACAATGACGGAACGAAAGCACAGAGGATTCAATCCGGGATAGCACGGCTGTGGAAGCAGGGGACCCAGCAGTCGCGCAGCTCAGTCTCAGAATCGGGACACCAAGGATCAGACGACATGAATGCGGCCAAGTATCTGCCAGATCCGACCAGGTAACCTGTGGTCCTGAAGCAGGTGAGACGAATTACAGTATGGTTGGCTCTGGCACAGGGGCCGAGTCGCCGAGCTAGCATTTCGAACTGCAGACAAACATCCAAGCAACAGCCGTGGCGCACGTTGAGGTCACATCATTCATGGCCAACTGATTCGGATGAGGCGCCAGCTACTTGTCACAATAGGTTCTGATCCTGTGTACCTCATGGTCACGGTGGCTCCCAAGCTCCCGAGCCCTGCCTGTGAGCACGATGAACTGCCACAGTCGCATGGCCAGGCTTGGCCACCACCGCTTGCTGACAGCTTATGCAAAAGACTTAAGTCTGTGCTAGTGGGGGTTCAGGGGCTGAGGGATCTGTGCGGGAGTCGGGATCTGTCGGGATCTGTGCCAGCGGCTGTCAAGTGTGCCGAAGCGTTGGATTTTGCAGCCTTTGTGGTGATTGCCCATGAATCAAGAGGATTTGAATAGTTCGAAAGCAGCTCAGATTGGCAAGTGCTGATGCTTGAACTGCTCCGCTGGAGACGGGCAGAAGGCTCCGGTGGTGTGGCTCTGCAAATCGTATATGCTGCAGCTGCTGCAGTCGCAACCTTTCCGGGTTCAGTCAATTTTGGAGGTGGAGCTTCTGTTGGATGGGGCTGTTGGCTTCACTCCCGTGCTGTGAGCCCTGTAAAGTGTGCCTGCAGATGATCAACGAGCTTCAAAAACATGCAGAAAGCATGAAGTATGATGGCTAGCCTGCAAACGCCTCATCAGCCTTCCTTCGGGATGAAACCTCTCATCCCAAAGGTTCTTGAGCAGCTCGACTTTCGTGGGTCGGAGGCGTTCCATCGAGGACTATGGTCCCATATTCAGGGACGGAGCGATCAAAACCGTTTTTGGGCCACATTCCTCTGAACCCTCTTTTACCACGCCTCGGAAATCCACCGCTTCCGGAGTCTCTTTGCTCCGGAGGCCCTTGCCACAGTGCAGACTCTAGGACACAGAATCCACCGATCGCCTGCGCTCGTTGGCCCGCTGGCTTTGCTCTTCGGCTGCTCGTGAAATCCTCCGGTCGCAGTCCTGCGTGAGGTGCGCACCAACTTCCGCTGGGCTTCGGCAGCTGGCGCTTTGCAATATATCGCTTGTCTTCAGCTGCGAAAAACTGTGACAACCGAAACATGTGCAGCTCCCAGTCGTGCAGTCGAGTCTACGATGGGACTTGCATTGTGCCGGCCTTTTCATCCCTCCAGCCTTGTTTGGCCGCCCGAGTGGGAGGCGTTGGAGTCGTTCGGAAGGCAATCCCTGAACAGACAATACTACTGGCACTAGTTTCTGTACTAGTACTACTACGATTACTACTACTACTACTACTACTACTACTACTACTACTACTCCTACTGCTCCTGCTACTGCTACCGCTCCTGCTCCTGCTCCTGCTCCTGCTCCTCCTGCTGCTGCTGCTGCTGCTACTGCTGCTGCTGCTGCTGCTGCTGCTACTGCTACTGCTACTGCTAGTGCTACTGCTAGTGCTACTGCTACTGATACTGCTGCTGCTACTGCTACTGCTGCTGCTACTGCTACTGCTACTGCTAATCCCACTCATACTCCTACTCCTAATTCATGCACAACCACCAAGACATCGCAAGAGGTTCTTTCTGAAGCGACAGCTGCACAAATCGGACAGGAACTGATGCGAAGAGTTCTCAGACAAGAAAACGTAGATGAACTGTTTGGCAAGCGACACGCAGCGGAAACACACCACATCGCACGTCCTCCCCCGACCAAAACGAGCACAGAACCGAAAGCTTGCCAATGGTGGGATTTCTTCCTCCGCTCAGGCCCGCCATGCCTCCATTGGACCAGGCAAACAGCTCCACAATTTCGTAACAACTGAAAGCACGCCAATCGAGACTTCTCGACCCTGCAGGCTCAGACAACCCTGCCAAAAAAATCACAAATTCGAAAAACAAAAATCGAGCAGAAAAAGCTGGGCTGCGACATAATCGGCGCCGAAAATAAAGGAAAACATTGTAAATAACGATCTGATCGGCATGTGGGCTTTTGCATGCTCACATGCATCTGGGTCGCGCGATGGCTTGCGCATGGACCAGCACTAAGCCGGGCAAGCCTCAAGCCTGGAATCCCCAAGTTGGGAAGCTCAAGTCTGCCCGTCCTGGTAGAGGCAGCAGAGGCAATGCCTAAAGCATCCAGTGGTGTGGATGTAGGTACCTTCCGACGAAGCAGTCCAAAGGTGAGCAGGACCAGGTTGGCATGTCATCCGTCGCAGAAGCAAAGGTAATAGACAAGACTACAACCCCCTTAACATCGTAGAAAATTTGTCAAAAAGTGTAGAATGATGGATGTCCCAAGCAACCAGCCAGAGTGTGCTACACTATATGAACCAAAGCTCTCTAAGGCGAGTCCGACAAGAAGTCCAACCCAGGTGACCACTGCGCCTGAACATGCCTGCACATCGATCCGCTGCAAATGCAGAAGCCCATGTAAAGTTGCGAAAGCAAGCTAGCAAAAGACTGGGAGTTTCGCCGCCAAGTCCGATTATCGAGAGGACACGCTGGATCAACGAGAATCGAAACCCATCAAGGCACTTCGGCATCTTCTGATGGCGCCGCTCCAGGTCGTGAACCACGCCGCGATATGGCCTCAGGATGTGATTGCCTTGCTGCCATCCTGGACTCGGAAGCTTCTTTGAGAACTCACTGGAATCCAGACCTCCGGCATCAGGGCGAAGATCCGGCAAACCGTGGACACTGCGCATGCACCGTGAGCACTCCGAAGTTCGGTACCGGGTCCCGGGCGAGCAGTCCCGATCAAAGCGATAGAAGTCAAACCAACAGGCATGTTCATCCACCCGCTGCCTCAGACAAAACGGTACATTGCCATCTATAGCCACTGAGCCCCTGGATGGGCAGTTGGCCTGACCCACCCTGCTCAGAGAATGGCTTGATGGCTTCCACTAGTGGGCGACGCTTGCCGACGAGCTCCTGATGCAACAGGACGTTACAACCAGCGATTGCCAAAGCAATCCCTGGAAGGACCAAACCTGGCGAAGCCAAGTGCTAAGATTTATCGGCGCTGTAAGCTGACAGCGTGACGTCTGAGACTGTGCAAGTAATGCGCGCAAGAAATATCACCTTTCTCACACTTGATTTCACCAAAACCCCTTGTGCGAACTGTGCGTTCGAGGTTCTGTGGCAGCGAGTGGAAGCAATTCGGAGTTTCTCTCCGGTTCACCCCGAGGCAACCATGCCGGTACAACTTTATGGGAAGTTGCAAACAGCTGTACACCCCTCCAATCCAGCAAAACACGAACCACAAAACCACACGTTCCAACCCTTCCTGGCCTTGATGTACATGTACATCTCCAGAGAAACTGCTTCCTGCGAACATGACTGCGGGCACAGTCTCTGGGGGCTTGAGTCTTGAGTGTTGGGGGTTTGTGCATGAGACTGAAGGAACTCACGGGGACCTGGTGAGAACTCGACACCACGCGTCCTGCGGCCAGCGTATGCTGATGGAGGGCCAGTCGATGAGATCCTGCACTTTGTGACCGACCATTACCCCGGCAAAACTCATGACTACGATTCGGAAGAAAGCAGTGGGATCACGAGCTAGCTCAGATGACTGGAAACGCACATGGGCAAACCAGTTGCCAAACGCATGCTGTGCAATACAGCTAGGGCATCTTACTCAAGCACACGGGTTCCAATAGCAGGTCAATACCGTAACACGGCAAAAGTCATACCATGATCGAGCGAGTCTCTCGATGGTCTTCCTACTAAGCTCAGGGCCCTGTGGCGGTTAGCTTCCCACAAGCCACTGAGCCGAACCCAAACCCCATCTCCTGGAAGGGCAGGACATAGCGATCCGAAAGAATCAGTGGGATGCAGCCAGCGAAGAAGCTTTCGTAGAGGTGGTTCCTAAGCAAGCCCCAAGTCGAAAATCGAGACAGGAACTCCTGGCTAGACCCCAAAGATCGCAGGGGAGACTCAGCTTGTCGAAGACCCCTGACCGAAGCTCGCAGCTGCAGATGTTGTTAAGCCTCTTCGCGGATCCTTCAGGCAAGAGCTTGAGCCCAAGTTCTACTCGCACTGGCGAGAACGATGAATGGAAAGCTCAAAACTCCAAACCCAACGTGCTAGACGCTGCATCCATGGCTAATAACTTCGAAGTCGGCCTATGCCTTTGAAACTTCTTCGCTTCAGGCTTGTCTTCAAATTTCGACCTCTTCAACTTTGCATTGTCCTCGTAGCCTAAACCGGAAACCCGGAACGAGCCCACTGAGCAACCCCAGACTTCGGCTGGTGGCGTCCAGGAAGATGTACCCTCCGGTACAAGGCAGAAATGGCTTTTGCCTAAGTCTCTGAAGTCTGAAATTGAAAAGCTCGAGTTTGGGCCTTGCAAGACTATCCTTGGCTTGCTACCGCCAAGTCGGAAAGTGCTGAGATGATTGCAGGGAACATTGGTGCTCTACGCCCTCCGCTTCGATCATGCAGGCTGACTTTCAAGCTGCGCACATAGAAATGGCTGGAACTTAGGGGTATGTGCGGGCAGCTGGCAAAGGTCTGCACCATCGGCCAACAAGCTTCAGGCACAAGGAAAGAGTCCAAACTCGGAATCCTGCCCATAACTTCAAAGTACTCCTCGATGAAGCCACCCACCTCGACTCTCACTCATCTTATCTAATCAATCTAATCAAAGCTGTCAAAACTCCAACGACAGAGAGAGCCAGGGCATGATGACGCGGCAAACCCTCAGGCCCTATCAAGGCGACACCGGGCCGACATGCCAAGCTCCAACCCATGGCCACGGCCCACTTAAAACCGCATCCTGGCTACAACAACGCTATACTTGTGAGCCTGTTGCAATGTAAGACCACGGGGTGAGCAGTGCGGGACACTTGCTCTCTCAATTTTGTTCTACCTCTCCCGCACTGAGCTTTGAGCGCTCACATCCGGCAGCTCCGCGAACTGGAGAAGCGCTCGACGAACACCGACCTTCCTGGTGGACCAACGACTTCTAAACGTGATTTTGCAAGCGCCAAAGCATCGTATCAGCAGAACATGGCAAGCAGATGTAACGTATACGGTGTAGAAGCTTTCGTGTGCATGACTTATTATGGGCTCTACAAGTATTCTTACTGTTGCCATTAGGCGAGAGCCGATGGGAAGGCGCCTTGCGAAGAGTGCATTAATGCCACAGCACGATGGTCGAAGAATGTGGCGGTACTTTCCGGGTTGCGGGTGGCGTCTCCCTACCTTCTTGGAATGACTTTCCAAGTCGAGCACCAGCAACTAGCAACTCTGCGCCCCCGCCGAGCCGCAGCCAACAGATTCAGTTGCGCGACCATAAGCCCGTAAGGCTGGTTCCAGAATGATGTTTGGGTTTAGGTCTCAGGGGGCTCAGATAACCGCTTGAAAGCCGCGTAGGCTACAGGGATCCCTTCCGAAGGGACGTCCCTTGTGGGCCCCTTGGCGCCGAGCTCATAGTAGTCGTGGTTCACTGGAAGGCGGCCATGGAAGTTGAAAAGCAGACCTGGGTGTTGAAACAGTCTTTGCCCTAGACCCTAAACCCCTAAACCCTAAACCCCTAAATCCTAAACCCTAAACCCTAAACTCCTAAACCCTAAACCCTAAACCCCTAAATCCCTAAACCCTAAACCCCAAACCCTAAATAGGCTTCACTAAATCTGGCACAGGGCTTCAGAAGGTCACGTCACGACTTGGGCTCGGCATAGGGCTGGTGCAAACACCGACTGCAAAAGCCTACTTCGGACCCTGGAAAATGCAAGTGCAAAAGCATCCTTCGGGTGAGAGACTTCCATCATCACTTTGATAGTGGCAGCCCCGGTCGTTGCTTCCATGGCGTCCAAGAGGCTTCTGTTGCTGGAAGGCTGGTTGAAGCTTCGGATGCGCTCCATCCGATCCAGGTCAATGTGGCCTGTCAGGGTTGCACAATAGGCTCAATTCTTCTTGGCTTGGCCTTGGATTATGTGCGGGCTGCTTTGCCCCAAACTCCCACTCACCTCTCCGATACCTCCGGTACTGCAGCCCCTTTTGTCTTCGCGCTTTGGTTTCGGTGACAGGTATATAGGTGCTTCGAAGAAAGATGTTCAAGCTATCGGAACCGAACTCCCTGGTCATGTTGCGCTTCTCTTGGCCAAAGCCCAGCTCTGTACGTACATGCACCAGCTGGCGCAAAAACTCCGAGGCCTCAATGAAATTGCGAGGCTCTGGCTATGCGAGTATTTGTGGTGAAGCTTGTTGATTACGGAGTGCAGGTTTCGAAGTCGGCGTTTTGTTGCAGGACTTTCCTCCATATCCGAAAGACCTTGCGTGGTCACACGTACAAGCTCAACAGTTCGTCTTGAACGAGAGCCCTCGGTGTCCCAGACCTCCCAAGTCCAAAGCTATCTTCGAAGTCGCACGCGAAGCCAATCATGGGATCCGAAAACGACAGGGCGCAGACGCAACCAAAACGCTGAAAGCATCACCGACAACTGTCCATCTCCTACACTTTATGTTGTCATCGTGAGGCTTGGGTGCCGCAGCCTCTCACCGGGAGACATGGAGAAAGCCAGGCCTGGTATCACGGCATCCTCGGCCAGGGCGAAAGCTGACAAAGCGACAGGATGGAGGCTGGAGGCGAAACACACCATGGTGTGCCCTTTGCGTGTTGCTGCTTCTCGCCGTACAAACCCGGATTGAAAGCCCAAGAGGATTACAAGGCTGCAAAAAAGGGATGTGGTCTCTTAGGGGACACGGGGCACTGTCGGTTCTCGACCATCTTCACCTTGAGCCCTATATCCCTGTCTCGTCCTTCCAGGGTGAGAAGCATCCTGGACCACAGCCCGGGGTGAAGGCCTTGCCAGAGAGTATGGGGGTGCTTGGCTGACTACTAGGAGAATCGAACACCCCAACGGAGAGATGCTTGCGGAAAGGCCACTGGAGCAGCCCCAGAGCAAAGCTATAAATCTTGAATCGAAAACGATACAGACGATGCTCATGATGGGAATTGTTGAGTAGACGCCCTTTTGTAAGGAACGAGTAGAGCAGGTGCGAACCCCCGAGCTCATGCGAGTCTGGGCTGTCCAACTAGACCAATCGGCCTGAAACTTGAGGAGAGTTCACATCCCGACGGATGCCCCTGGTCCGTGCCTTAACCCGAGTAAACTCAACGATACTCTGACCCTGGGTCGCACCTCTGTCGTGAGAAAGATGGAATGCGGGATGTGGTCCTGATGTCTCGTGAAGAAGCTCATCCGTGATCGATTCAGGTCAGTGTTAGCAAACTAGTCAGTGTTCACAGACTACACAGAGGTGGAATAGAATAAAGCTTATTGCAACAATCGCACCACAGCAACGAACCCAAACACTGTCTGCGACAACGCAAACTTGAGCTGCCCAGCTTCATCTCAAAAGCTGAACCACCGCGTTCCAGTACCCCGGGCGATCTGCCAAATCGGAGCTAATGTAAATCCTGTGGCAGGTCAGCCCAACTTCGCCTGGTTCCTTTCAAGAACGGGGACGAAACCTCGACTCCACGCCCTCGGATGGGAAGCCGCTGCTTCCCAGCTTTCGGATCCGAGGTTGCCGCCCGCCAGGAGGGAAAGGTGTGAGTGAAGTTCACGATGAATCCTTGGTCCTGCGAATTTGGGGATTTCGGAGCTGGGGCTCTTAGAATTTAATGACGAAGCTTGCAATCGAAAGGAAGCCTGGGCCTGCACTTGCAAACTATCACAAGGTGACACACAACCATCAAGCCACCAGCACATGACCGGGTTGCCTCATTGCTAGAGTGACTGTACTGTGGGCACTGTCGGACTTCAGACTCCATGCTTCGCATCCCGGAAAATCCCCACCCTGTACAAGAACACACACAAGGTCTCAGGACCCGCTGATCAAGACTTTCGACATTGGAGCTTGGCAAGGCTGCCGGTCCGAGAAGATGAAGATATGGTCCATGCCCTTCTTGCGATCCTGGGTGCTGGAAACATTTCTAGCCGCAGGGATGAGGGCTGAATCTACGTTGATGCGAAGACTACTAAGACTAAGAATCAATCGCAAACGTTCCCCACCTTCCGTAGCCGTGGATAAGCCCATGCTTACGAGTGTTGGAATTGTCGGCGGCTTTAACTTTTCTTTGGGCTCAACCCGCGTGATGACAAGCATCGACTCCCACGGCCCTTGGTGCCTCCAGAGAGTTAAACCCACAAACTCCCAAGGCATCGCCCGGCGCACGAGTAAGACAAGGACAAAGTGCGGCAAGGTCTGGATCAGCCCCTGAAGGGTGCAGCAAAGGGGGCTCTCCGATCTGAGCCTTCATGAGGCTTCGCTGGCTTCGCGGCGTCAGGGAGGAACTTCCACGGTCCCAACCCCAACTCATGCCAGAGCAGCCAGAAAGCTGCTTTCGGCTTCCTCCGGACGCCGATACCTCGCGGTGGAAAAAATTCAAGAATAGAACTTCAGTTATCGGTCTAGGGTTGATGCTTGCTACGGTTTTCTGGACTGATCGCCTCAAGTCTGGTCTTCGGATTGGGCCCCAGGGTCCCACCCCCTCGGTCTTGTCATAGACCCCCCCAGAATGGCGGCCCGATGTCCCTGACGCAAGCTTGGAGCTCAGGGCTTTCAAGCTCTGGCAGTTTTGGGGTCGAAGCTGAGGCATAAGGCTTTTCGACTGTCGAGCTTTGGGGTGCGGAACGCTCCCAGGCCGCCTAATCCTCCCCAAAAGCGACTTCCAAGGCCGACCAGCACTGCAAGTGTGGCCACGTTCTGGGTTCTGGGTCAAACGCACGCAAAACATCGGAAGACTTGTCAACAGTATGGGGAACCTGCAAACAACTTAAACCTTTGAACTGCCAAGACAAGACCCCAGATAAGGGCAAAACTCTAAACCGGCCAGAGACGCTGCAAAACCGTACCTACCCAAACACCCCCAGCCCTTTAGAATCACACCTATTGCTTGAATGGCGTGTGATTGAATCGCGCATGCTTGAATCGCACGTGCTTGAAGCAAACTGGGTGAATCGCGGCTGGTGCTCGCATAGCGCTATCGAAGTACGAGGTACAAAGCATGAACGCTCAGAGTCGCGCCATCAAAGCCAAACTAAACTGGGCCTGACTCACGAGTGTGCCAGGGTCCAAACTGAAGACCCCGAGGTCACTTGTCCTTGTGGTTTCGGATCACCTGGGAGTGGTAATCGTCACCTGCATCAAGTACACGGAGAAATTGATGCTTCTAATTCCGGGGTCTTGAGTCAGTCCAAGCTTCTGACTGGTTTCTGCGGAGAAGTACATCGGTTTCACGTGGAGGTTTCAGGTTGAAGCCACACCTGTGGTGCCCCGGACGAAGAGAACCTAAACACCTTTTCGTGAAGCTCTCACAAGGCTGCTACACGGCGGAGTTTCATTGCGTGACGAAGTGATCGCAGAAGGGCCATACACTGCTTGGCTGAACATGCCCAAACCAGAGAATCCTTCCGTTAGGATGTTGCAAGACCGTGCATGAGCTGGAAATTTCAGCGAAGAGTGCCACTGACTACCACCCAATCTGCGAAAGCACAAAGCCACCAGCTTGTGGCAAGCACCTTCCAGTAATGTCAAGCCCTTGTGCTGGAAATTCGGGGCCTAAGCTGCGGCTTTCCACGTCCCAGGCTTTTCACGTCCCAGGCTTGACTACGGCGAAGACCTCAAGCCTCAATCCTCAATCGCGGCCTGTCAAACTCTTCCTGCTGAAACCGGGAGATGCACTTTTGCTTCTCCGGACGTTGGAAGTTAGGAGAGCTGGGAATGTGCTACAAACGAAGACGTGGGAAGCCGCTTCACAGCCCCAAGCAAGGGAATCAAGCGCTACTGCCTGGAACACGTCGGCACCCAAAATGAGATGGAAGTTGGCCACAACAAGCCCGGCATGAAGGCAGAACTGGTGGTGGGGACCTAAACCCCGCCCTACCCAATCTCCCGAGTCACAAACAGTCAGCGATCCCTCATGCGTGCACTCGGAACTTCTGCAGGCTATTCCCAATGTCGTTCTGAGAAGTCCACAACTCAGCAGAGGTGGCAATATACATATACATGTTCGGTAATGCTGTGGTCGCGACAATGGCTGAACTAGGCCACTTGCCACAGTAAATCGCTGTTTCTCGCTTTTTTTGGGAGAGACTCCTCGGGGCGACACGAGATGAATGTGACAAGCCCGGTAGTCGGGCACCAAGAACAGATCAGCCTGGCGCAGATGGGTCCAACGCGTGTGTTGCCTTTGCCTGTTTGGTGGCTTACATAGGGCTCAGACCCATTGCATGATGGTTCATGCTGAGGAAGCGCGCGAGCATCAACCCCCGTGCCACATGCCATCAGATGCCAAAACACCCGGCACTGCCCAGACAGTGAACTTCTAGGCCCTGGTGTCACCAAACAGTCAGAAGCCTCGTCGGCGTTCAGGGTCCGGCATGAGCCAGAGGCGAAGAATCGATGCAGCAGCACTTCCACGCCCCACCTGACTTCTTCTGAAGGACACTGCAGGTCTGTAATTTGTAAGCCAGACGGTTCCATGCTTGCTTCTAGCACACCAGACACTATACACGCGGTTTCGCGCATGGTTCATGGCTGAATGCAGTGAACTCGCTCAGCCGGAAGAACGACCTACAGCAAACGCAGGAATAGTGCATTCTTCTGCTCAAAGTCTTAGGTCAAAAGATACATATCTGTTACAAGGAACAGTTTATACGTCACTGTGAATTTGCGACTGTCTCTCATGGTATCCGGCTGGCCACTGCATGGAACATGAAGCCGATCGAGGCACGGGCGAAGATTTTAACTTGCCGTGTGACTACGAATGGTAGCTCAACTTGAAGCATCCTGTCCTGCCACCCAGGAGACAGCGACCACGTCGGACATTCTTCTGCTCGTTCCTCCCTGACCCCATAACTTGTCAATTTGGGGACTCGTCACATCCTGCATCACTGCGCTTAGGCCTGGGGCGGCTTCTTTTTTTGTTGTACGGCCTGTTTGCTCTTGGCCACTGCCGCCGGGTCCTAAAAGATTGTTGCTGTCCGGCCGCTGCCGGGGCCGTGTCTGTTTTTGCTCTGCGGCAACGCGGGCTTGCTCGCAGGCTTGGGCATGCTGGGCGGTGCCTTTTTTTTGCTCCACGCCGCCCCGACGCTCACCGCCCACGGCGGCCGCGTAAGCAAACAAACACCCACCCCACCCAGCCCGGGGCCACAGGCTCACAGGCTTGGGGCTTGGGCCTGCCTCCTCGTGGTGCCTTTTTTTGGCTCCGCGGGTGCTCCCCAAGCTCACTCACGGCTGTGGGCTTGCACGGCCGTCCGGCCAGAAAAATCGGCTGCTGTGCTGCATCGAGTCTAAACAGGCCCGGCGGCCAGACAACCAAAAAGAATAACACCACTTCCCTGAGGCTTGCAATGCCAAGCTTAGCTGGTGAGCCAGGCCAGCCTGGCCAGCAGGACGGTGACGAGTCGATTAAGTAATCACCATACCGGTCCATTTTCACACAAGAAATGGCTTCGAAAACACCCTCCCGTTGCCGTAAAGCTTCTGTCAGCGAGAAATTCAGATTTGAAGAGTCTAACTACACCTTAGCCCAGGCAACAGCACCGGATACTTTGCAGAGGTGGCTTTCAAGTTGCTGCCCGCTTATTGCACCCTCAGACGCTCTCAAGCCAACCCCACAACAACTACCCCATAACCCCCACCTTTAATTGTATGTTGTTGTGCAAGCCGACAACGAGGAAAAACTCAAAATATCTGGGGATCCCGGCTGTCCGGCAGAACAGAAGACTGAGCCTAGAGAGTACTGCCTCGGAAGGCTTCGTGATTGTTGGCCAGATGCTGTACTCACGAGGGTAAGCAGAAGCGCGAGGAGAGAAGCATGAAGTAGCGAACTAGCTTCAAACAGTTCTCTTTTAACCATCAAGCTCACATGCCTAAAAGAGCCTGCAATAGATATCATGTTGCACAGTACCTCACAGCCTACAGACCCACCCTCCCGCAGGAAACAACGCCCAAGCCGTAATAGAACCAAGCAACTGCGACTCGTAGACATAGACACGGAACTTGGCACCTGGACAAGACAAACAGCCTTCAGCCTCAAGCTGTCCAAGACGTGAGCAAAACCAACGTGGGGCGGTGAAACCTTAAAGTGTGCAGCGGCATCAGATTCGGGAAGTGGTGGCCTGCGCAGTCGTTGGCCTGTAGGCCCAGGAAGAGCGGAAACCTGAAGCAGTGCAAACCGTCGAGACAAGGCTGAAGATGCTTCAGCTGGAGAACCCGTATCGGTAAAACGGATGTAGATCTAGCGGCAGTCATGTGAACAAAAGCAAACCATCCAGCACTTTGACGACCCAGGAAGAGTGCAGAACCACCCGACATCGCCGTTCCCTGGCAGCTCGATCCGAGCTGAAGAAGACAACTATGTCGATGAGACGCATCATTCACGCCCATAGACCTTGCCACATTGACTCCGTAGCGACTCTCACCAGCTGCCGATTGGAAGGCGCCGAAAACTCATAGATTTCGTGTAAGGACTGACTATAACCTGTTGTCTCTGACACAGACCCAGTTTTTCTTTCTGCCCCGATTTATCACCTGCAGCTGGCTGAAGATGCGTATGACTGCTGCCTGGTCGTATACCTGTTATCACTCGGCACCGTGGCAACAATGACACAGGAAAGTTGCCAAGCCGGGTGTTTTCCGGACGCGTCTTGCGGCACAGTCACATGAAGCGCGACAGTGCCGATTGGAAAGCGCCGAAAATTGGTAGGTTTCATGCTAGCACTGGCCATCGCCGACCAATCCTGCTGTCGATGCCACGACACTGCTCCAACTGTATACTCAGCTTGTTCTTCC